GGCAGCTCCCGATCGCAATCTTGATAGATTTGGTTACCTAAGCACATCTGGAACGGTCAGTGAGGAGCAGAAAAACCACACACACACACACACACGTGTTCCTGGACATTGCAATGCAGACAGCAGCTCTCCCTTGGAGACTCCTGAAGGCGAATACTGCCCAGTCACATTTCTTTTATCTCAACACTGCGCAGAGGAACAGGCAATGGACAGCAGCTGCCGTCCAAAACGCCGTCCCCACAGAAACCTCTCTCCATCCCCTTCACTGAATTGGACAATAGAAAAGTAGGAAACTGAGTATGAGCCCAAGAGAGACAATATCCTACAGAAAAACCTCATGTAATGCAGCGTCGGTTGCCTGTACGTTTCAGCATGAGGCAGATGGAACTTTGTTCTCCACATTGCTCAGATGCAATCAGCTTCAGACGCCTCAGACAGTTGGGAAGTTGAACAATAACAACTAGCAAACAATTCAGAAAACCAGTAAATGTGAACAATGGACTGAAAGGACCGATTGGAAGAAACACCAAGAAAGTCTGCATCAAGGGCGAGTCCTACACAAAAGCATAACAATTAAATACGGTAAACAGCAAAAGGGAATCTTAGGGCCTTTTCCTCCTGACTTTGATCCAAGTGATTTAAACACTATGAAATTAGTTGCCTGTACTGGCCTCAAATAGCCCACCCTATCAGGAACTGTCAGTGTTGCTGAGGACAGCTCAGAAGGAATCCTAGTCCTACCTTGGAGAAATACCCTGAAAAAAAGGTTTCCAGGAAGAGGTTTGTGTCAGCACATCATCAGAAACCATAAACGTTTGTGAACAGTGTCAAGCTTAACCTAATTACCCCTCTACAACAGCTTCATGCTCCAAATGGGAAAATAAGGAGGTGCCATCCCAGGTCTCTGCCAGCACCAGACACGCCACCGAGGGAGATGTTCGGATCCATCTCACTCCAGTTTGAAACTATTTCTAGTGCAGTCACTTATGCCAGAGCTCATAGCACTGCAAGGAAAAGCATCCTTTGAAAACAGAAAAAAAATCTACCCTCCCCCATCAGCAAATAAACTAATTTGCTTATTTAGGAAGTCAATGGAAATAGTTCATACACATCATACGTCCTCTAATACAGAAGACAATAATAAGAGATATATATTTTAAAAACACACAGTAGTGACACTAAGGGAAAAATTACTAACTGGGCACATGGAATACAGCTGTCAAACGATTCAACAGCATTCCCAAAACCTTTACTTTACATGGAACACTTATGCAAATTGGAAGATTAAGCAGCTTCTTCCATGTGGATGGCAAAGGGCTGCTGAAGGAGGCTGTGAAATCTCCATCCCCTCAGATGTTCAAGACTCCACTCGAGAGGGCTGTGAGCAACCTTACCCGGTGAGACCTGCTGTGAGCAGATGGAGGAGGTGACCTCCAGAAATCCCGTCCAACCTAAGCCCTTCTATCATGAGCATCCAACAGAAATCACTCAATTCAAGCTGTCTTCCAAACACTTCATTTACTCAGCATACGATAGGCTATTTCAGTGTGTCTTTTGAATTGGAAACTGTGCTCACCATATTGAATTAAAAAATCTGACTTCACCTCTACAATTTCAGAACAACTTCTATAATTCTATGTCATATTTTGTGATTTCCAATTAATCAGATTTCAGATTTTGTATGGATGTGTTTCATCATAACGTCTCGTACCCTTTGAGGCAGTCATGACCCAGCTGTTATCTACCTGTTTGCTATGACCATTGCTATTACCCAAATTGCTGAAATAAAGCAGAAACAAAAGTTTTACTATATCCAAATATATCCAAAAGTTTTACTATATCCAATATACCCAAATCCATCTTTCTGTTAGACTAATGGAAAAAAGCAGTACAATTGATAGCAAAAAAGTACATAATGTAATCAGTGTGAAGATCATTAAATACAGCTTTTAGTTCATCTTTTTCTCCACAACACGATTTTACAAACAAGAATAAAATCACCACACTGTGGTTGATTTTCTCTTCTCGTTTTAATCCAAGGTTAATAATCTTCTCTCTGGCTTAATACAGACATTTCATTAGGAAAGCATTACTCTGCTGTTAGAACCAAGCTACTGGATTGTTTTGGAAATTATATCCAAAGTACTGTTCAGCATTTCAATTTGATAATAATTAACATGCCAAAGAGGTCTGTCTCATCACAAGGAAATCAGAAACAAAACCCAATGGTAAATAAATGTCATGTCAACAAAGACAAGCAGAGTTAACGGCTGTTCCCTTCCGCTGGCTCTGCAAGTAGAGACAGACAATGCTCAGAAACAAATCTAAAAACTTTAAAGCAGGTGAATACAGCCTCTGTGATGAAAAGCTTGCAGGGCTGCCCCCAGCCAAGCACTGGGCTCTGCAAGGCACGGGGCAATTTGTGGCACCAAACAAGTGGATTTCCTGAGTGTCACCTGGGTTCTGCCGCACCGGCAAAAGAATCCAACATCCACTTGCCTTTTAATCCACTGATTTAGCAGCAGAGACCAAAGCATCTGGTTGGAAACTCTTAGGACAGGCTTCTCAAACAAATAACTCATTATGGCTCGAGAGCACTAATTAGCGGTCTCTGGCTTTGCGTGACTCGTTCAGCACTTGACTCCTATGTTTCAGTACAATTCTTCAAGTAATCTGTAACGCTAGTTCCTGCAGCTGAAACACAGCTTGGGGAGAGAAAAATTAACGGAAATGATAAGGTTTAAAAAATGTTTTCCAAACCATGGCTTTGAAATCTCCCCATTAGTACAAACTGCTGCAATCCAAGCATTGTGTAACCTTTTCTTTACTCCTATTTTTATACCTTGCTGTGAGAATTGGCTCAATGGGCAATTTCTCATGCTTTCAGGGGACTGGGAACTGAAGGAAACCCTTCTGAACCCACACCCTTCACAAACTGGGTTTGAAAAATAGAAAGCTAAGAATGACAGGAAGAAAAAGAAAGTAATAAAGAAAACAGAATGGAAAACAGCCATGAGAACTGAGGCAAGTGCAGTGAAGATTAAAATTCTCACAACAGTTCACTGCTCCAGAGGAAAGCAGGAAAATGTAGATGCTCAGACTAAGAACATAATACCCCTTCCTCCCCCTTTTATGCACTTTAATATATTAGAGGAGCAATACTGAAACCTTCCTCTCCAGTTGATTTAAAAAGAAACTACATGAGTAATTATGGAAACCAGGACACAGTCCAAAAGATAAAAGCTCATCTATTTTATCAGCCTGTCTACAAATGTATGTTGGTTCCCACCTGTAAAAATGGACACACTTAAAAGACATTTTCCTTGTGTTTTCATGATCTTCCAGGGACCATCCCAGGATCTGCAAACCGTATCATGCAGTTACAACCTCCATCAACATCTTCAGACAGATTGTGTTACTTCAGAAGCTTTCTCAGTAGCTTAAGCCACAATTAAAAGAGACGGAAGAGCTGGAGTTCCAATACCTCTACATGGGGCTGATCTACTCAGTTTTCCACAGCTCAGGTTTATTCCTCCTAATCCCCTGTAAACCCAAGAGGATGAAGAAACTATAGTAAAGAATTGCTGAAGGAAGAAGATCTGTGATGAAAAAAGACTGGAATAAGAAATCTCCAGAGAAGCAGCGGAAGTTGCCTGCTGGAAATGGTTTGCCATCCAAAGATCAACCCCGGTCACACCAGGCTACTTGAGCATGGAGGCATAAAAGAGAAAGTCTTTACCAACACACAGGCTGACTTCAAAAACAACATACAAATGGAAAAATGATGAGGTCCAAACTTTAGATTCCCTTCTGCCCCATGCCCAGAATGATCCAAACTCCAGAAGTTTGCTTGCTGGGCTGAGGTACCCAACACATCCACCACAAACCCCAAACTCTGCATCATTCTCACTCTGGCCACAACGGGATCGATTCCACATGGCAGTTATTTCTTAGGTAGGTCCCACTGACTCTGCCAGGATTTTGTCACATGGGCAGAGATTCCTGTGAGAAGGGTCTGGAGACTCAATCCATCCGTGGAATTCTACCTGCTCGGCCTCGGATCAGCATCAGATCAGCCTGTGGCATGTTGTGGGCATCTCTGTGCGAGGCATGGACCAGCCAGCCAAGAGAGCAACAAGCCACCAGCTGGCAGCTTTCAGCAGTTCCAACAAGCAGATAAAGCCAAAACTCTCTGAAACTTTCAGGAGATTACACGCTGGGCAGATGTGTGTATTTTAAGTACATTCTAAAACATTAAAAGGTCTTTCGACAGCTATTTCCGATATTAGTAGGATACCGTGTCTCCGGGTGTTTTGCAGGTGGATGGCATTCCCAAGAGTACTTTTAATAAGTAATTAAACCCACTTTTACACAGAGTGTATTTCCTGCATTTGCCTTCCAGCAGCCCCTGTGAGGAGGTCTTGGGAAGAAGCGTTACACCTGCTGCTTAGACCTTAAGGAGGTATCAGAAAACCCACTTTTCAAAGCAATGTACTTGTCAGCATCTCACAAAAACCGCTGCCCACAAAAGGTGATACCTGGAGTTGGCACTTCCCAAGAACTTCTACAAATAAATAGTATTTGTGGAAAAAAACCTGAATATTTCAAACGCGGAAGGGTTAGACAGCTGCAATTTGATACAATAGTGCATTGATACAGCATACTTTCAGTCCAAATATGGCAATATAGTGCAATTCTAAAAATAAAAGTGAATCCCTTGTGATATCCAGCCCTTTCGCTGTGTTCGTTTCCTTTTAGGGCTCAAGTTTCCCACAGGAAAAATCAGAGAGAGGAGTTTGCCTACAGTGCCCTCCATCATGTATGGATGGAGCATAAACACCCACCGCGTGCTGGAAGGTTTTCCTGCCCCGGGCAGTTACGTACAAGCCAGACTATTCAGAGCAACCAAGATAAGAGGAAAAAAACCCCCACCCACTCCCAAGCCAACACACCTTTATCAGCACAGATGCAGATACAGAAAAGCCACCCGAGACAAGACATGAAAACATGTGACGTATCATTTATTTCTTAAATGTATTTATGATCCATTCAGACCTTTCAAATAAAGTGTACAAGTGCATTTCAGAATAAAAAACTACACTCTTCACACAGCTCTGTAGAACACTACATTTCATCAAGAAACTTGAAGCAAAAACTTCCTATTAAACCACCCATGCATCCTTTGGCTACAATAATATCACTGATCAACAAGTACTGCTATTCAATTCCGAGTTTCCCTTTAAAGAGAAGGAGCATCCTAAAATATGCTACCCCTTCCAGAGACCTCTCTTTAAAGAGAGAATATTAAATAAATTAGCTAGGCTTTTAGGCAAAACAGTAAGGCTACTTAGTACTGTCGATGCATGATCCATATATTTGGAGAACAGGCAATCCTAGGCTATGTGAAATGCGTCAACAGCCCTTGAAATTTTAGTAGTATCAAGATTACATCAATCCAGAACAAATGGCAGACAAAAATGTAACCAGTGGAACAATCACTGAAAAATGTGCAGTTTCTCTTAGGATGGGAAGTGCCGATAACAGATTCAGAAAAGTGTTTAGAAAATCCGCTAAGAACCACATTGACATTCTTAAAATTACATATTTTACAAAGCCCTAAACTGTGTGACTGTATAATTACTGCTGTGACAATTGCTTGGTTTAAATACGTATATACACATACATATATATGTAAAATACACATATATGTGCATTTTAATACAACTACATTAACATGGCAGGAATTGTACAGTCGCACAGTACACACATATATATATTATGTACATCTACAGCAAAAAAGAAACAAGCCAAGAGATGTACAACACAGCTGGGTACAGGTCAGCTCAAAGGGAATAATACATTTCTTTGAGTTTTAATAACTCATAGCAAAATTACCTCTTGGAAATAATTATGCAAAGGTTTAGAATCAGATATTTACATGCTTCCGGTTTATCTAGTTCCATTTAATATTTAAAAATATGCAAGTATTATTTTAAATCAGTAACATTTGTCATTTTTGGCTCAACTGTAGTTTTTTCTTATTATTAGTGTTAGTTGAAAAATCAGCTACAGAAATGTCTATTAAAACGCTGGGGCAGGAGTACACCCCCCCCTCCCCTGTATTTTAACAACAATTCTGAGTTGGCACAAAATAGGTAATTCTGGAGCCACACCAAGAGCCCTCCCTCAGCTGCCTGGGATGGCAAACCCCATCTTCAGCATCCCCCGTCCCACGTGGAGCGGAGCAAACCCCGGCAGCGAGGAGGAGGAGGAGGAGGATGGAGCCAGACACCCCGACCCCCCCAAAGCAAACCCCGTGTCACAGAGTCCCGGGGCTGGGACTGGTTCCCATTCCCTCTTTGCTTTGCTGACCCGCTCTGCAGGATTTATTTTCCCCATAGTTCTTCAGAGCAGGGGGTTCACACTCACACTTTCTCTTCTCCTAATACAAAACGATTTCCAGCAGGAAAAGGTGCCCGAAGCCCTTACACCCACACACACTCACATTCTTACCTGTGATTTTTGTCTATTCTTGGCTTTTTCACTGACACCGGAAAAAAACTACCAGTTGTAAAAACTACTGGTGCAAGGAGCTGGACTGTCTCCCACCCCGAGCTCCTCGTAACAACCCTCTGACAAATGTCAAATCTCCACAGAACACACGGAAACGATCCCACCAGTGGCTTCTGCTGCCCCAGTGACTGGGAAGGCACAGGGACACGGGTGGGAGGTGGGGAAGAGCGAGCATCCTTTACAGCCAGGTGGCTGCCCTGCGTTTCCTTCAGCAGAGCAACCCAAAAGCACATGCAGGCACAGCCTCCCATGCTTGCGGTTTAATTGTAAACAGCATGTGGGGAAAAAAAAAACCCAACCAAAACAATTAAAAAAGGTACTAATACAATTTCAAAATCCCTGAAGAAAAAGACATACCCACGAGTATTAAGAACAGTAAAAAAGCTCATCATTAGCAATTGCAAACTCGTTTCCATCCCGTCGCATTCATTAGAGGAATACAAAATTGAATCTAGTGTTCACATGCCAGAATTACAACAGAAACTCGATTTTCAAAGGTTACATCTGGAGAGAAACTTATCAGCGTCGGAACTTGCAAAACACTGTGCTATACAGCATTTCTGAAGACATAAGTCTGTGAAAACAGTAACTGTGACTGCAAACCCTTTCAGACAGCTGGAAAGCGTGGCCGGGGGTAACGCTGCTCCCTCTCAGCTGGAAGGATTAACGGCACCATTATTTTTAGTAGGTTTTAATGACAACAATTCAACCTCAAGAAATACCCAACCCCTCAAAAACCGAGGTGATCAGCAACACACAGGTACCTTACAGCCCTCGGGGGGTTATTTCTTTGCACACGAAACATCAATTCTTTTTGACAGTATCTACAGAAAATGTTTTAAAAAATGTTTTTATGAAATACTTTTAATACTCAGTAATACTAATATTTAAAAATACTTCACAGTGTGGTACTAATGTAACTTCATAAAACGAGCAACTCGAGTTAGCTAAAGCTCAAAGCCTTATGTTATATTAAAATAGTCCAAAGATTTCACACACACACAAATCACGAGCACTATAAATACACCTAAGCCACTTTAGTGCAAAGTCTGGTTTTTGCTTCCCCTGACAAATCCCTCTGTATTCCTGCCAGCACATTAAAACGTCATCCTTTACTAATCTAATTATTGATTTTCAAGGACTCATTTACAGTTGAAATCCCAGAAGAACTTTTTTCAATTTATCATAGAAGTGATGACTTGGTTGATTAAGCATCTGATTGCGGGTCTCACGTGACCTCTGTCACGTCCCGGAATGACTGGCGTGTGCACAGCAAGACTGGAGTTCATCTTTACAAGGAGGTACTTCAATTTATTTAACTTTTTAATGAAAGGCTCTCCAGTAAATGACCATCAGAGAGAAGCCAAAGCTTTGAATTACAAAATTGCTATCCTCATCTTACAAATCCATAAAAAGGAAGAAGTCTGGAGAAGAAGCTGGGACCCCTGTCCCTCTGGCCGGCCACCTGGGGCTGCCCCACAGCTCTCCCCCACGCACGCACCCGCTGCCCACTTCAAATTCTAAATATAACCCAGTGCAACGCACATTCCTCAGCATTTCTATAAACTTCTTGGCAAATAAAGGCAGGTTATCACCCCGTGCACAGGTAACCCTCCCGCTCTCTGCCCGGGGCAGAGCCTGCGCCTCCTCCGACCCGCCCAGCCACCACCCCCCTCCCCAGCACCTTCAACAAACCAACGGTGATTTTTACAACTTCTGGTTCTCAACTGGAGTAACCACAAATTCCCCAGCTAGAGAATCAGCTTTGCCTGGACACACTGTCACAGAGGCTGTAAACAACTGTCCTGGATCAGGATACAGGAAGGTAACTTTTGTTAAGGTTTTCATTAAGTGCTAAAGCTCGAGAGATGCAAATATGATACAGGTGAAATCCACCAACACTTCCATGGGCACCCACCACCAGCCACGGCAGCTGGTTTTAACCTCTGGAATGGGAATAAAACCAAAAAGGTGACAGGAGTCAGCGCTATGTAGGAGCCCCAGCCAAGCCGCCTGCATAAGGAGAACATTTCACCTGCCCAGGAAACCCTGTGTCACAGAAAAAAAACCTGAAAAGCTGCCTTTGGAGTACAGCAAAGCAAAAGCAAGAAGGTTAAACTCCCATCTTTTAAAAAAAAATGTCCTGTAAAGGATATGACCCAAATGAAACACTCCATTGTTGTGACAGAACTGCGATTTCCATCCCACCATCAGCGCAGGCCCAGCTGCCCAGAGGGCTTCCTCTGTTTGTCTCCACTGGCCACAACTTTCAGTTTCCTTCTCTAAATACAACTGCATCTGGTCCTACACATACGGGATTGTAATTTTTAAGAACTCCCCTCTTCTAAAAATATTTTACATACATAATTTTAGTATTAAATTGTCTTTCAGAGCGGTACCTCTGCAACGCACAGGCAAGAGGGGAAATAACAACTGAGAAGCTTTAAGACGTCATCGGCCTCTAGAAGCCAGAACCCTTCTTTTCTAGTGAAAAACAGGTTGTTCTCACGATGGGGGATTCTCCCTCCATCCCAGAAAAGAGGCTGTTGATGTGCAGCCTGATGGCCCAAGGCCAGTTCCAAGCCCAGATTATACAAAGCATAAGGGACCCCGGAGCAAGTAACACCTCCAAAACCTCCACCTCCTCTTATTAAATTAAAATTACCTACCACAGATGAATCAAGTAACTGGAAAAGTTTTAAATGGGCCATTTGTAATGTCTAAAGGTAGACTCCTATGCCCAGGCATTAGTTCCTAAGACACATGTTTTTTAAAGCACCAACCTGAATTCGGAGAAGTTCTGTCAACTTCAAGCCCTGTTGTGGGGTGAGATGAGACTGGAACGTCTCAGGCTTCCTGGCTCATGAAGGCTCAGTACGTGTCATCATCACAGCACTTGGTAATGGCACAATAAATATTGAAAAATCTGCTTATTGACTTTGTGCACTGAATGTTTCCATCTCGCATCACACACATGCCTCGCAAGTGTCTTTTTCACAACAGACAAATTGCTGAAATTTACAACTTCTTACAACTAAAAGCTCTTTATGCAGGAAAGGGACGATGCCACCGAGACACAACGTGAGACTCAAAAGTGGAAACTTGTTCATGTCTCTGCTGGAAGGAATCCTCTTCACAACCTCGTGCTGCTCCAGGTTCCCTGCACCTCGCTCCTTCGCACCACTTTCTTCTCAAAGATTTGTGACAAATATTCCCGACTGCCCCTTGGCACCCTCACCCTGAGCCCTGCCAGAATTCCAACCAGTGGAAACAAATTTCCGAGTGATAAGGACCTTAAAAACAAGTACAAAACCCCTAACAGCAAAGAAAGATTGCAGTAACGTTTCATTAAAAAAAACAAACAGCAAAACTTTTGTTTCACACACAAGACACCCGTTGAATTAAAAAATACTGTCACTAGATTGGAGATTGTGAAAAAATAGTATTTCACAGATTTTCCACCAACCTATTTGAAAAAGGACAATATAGTCATGACCTAAACTTCCAGTAAACTCAAAAAAAAAAAAACATAACCAAGAGTTCTAGAGGAAATCAATTATCACCTTCTGAGAAGTTGTGTGAATAGAAATCCTTTCCACAGTACTCAGAAAATGCCACTGAATTGCACCCTGCAAATTGAACCTTCCAGCGACTTAATTTGAAAGCAATGCAGATAACCCAAATAAAAAAAATAAATTTATAGTCTGAGATGGAACTTCAAAATTAGTCCATTTAATCATATCGCAACCCACAAGTTTTATGAAGATATAATTTGGTTTCTGTATTGTACTTGGTGTGGCATTCAGCTGAGAGCAATTCCTGAAGCAGCAGGCACACTTGGACACCAATATGGCCAAGAAAAGGATTAGTTTCCTATGTACAACCATGAAGGTGATCCAGCTGGAAAGTTTGCTCCTAACAATTGTGACCAAAAGGGCTACTGATGCCTCATGTTAACTCTATGACAAAGGGTGTTACACGGAGTGCTGAGCAAACAAGGTCATATATTTCAGAATTATTTCTTCCGCAGTTGGCACAGTGAACGAGATTCACCCCCGTGCCATTTCACTGAAGACGACAGACAAAAATGTTATATTTAAAACACCTAATCACACACAAACCTAGATCAACATTAAATTAACTTAGAGGGAAAAAAAATAGTAATTTAGATTTAAAAAAAATAAATAAATTAACACAGACAAAAATAGAAACATTTGACACTAAAACGAAGCTGCTGAGGCAGTATTTCAAAGTGTCTGTAAAAACACTGGATGAAACTTGAACGCATCAATCACTGCAGCTCCTCTCTGTCCTCATCTCCGGAGACTTCTGGGTCTGACTATCTCTTCTCTCAGAAATCACCGGAGCTGATGAAGACTCTGAGATGAGTAAGGCAACTGACCGAGGGCCTGGCTGTTGGGAAGGTTATAAGGGAACCTCAGCTGCCCAGCACCAGGAGCTGGAAGTGCACATCTGCATCGGCATCTGCAGCAGCCACGGCGCTTTGGGTACAATTCCAGGCCTAGAGCTGAAGTAGCAACTGCTTCACCTCCAGTCCAATCTCTGTGCCGTGGCTGAGACCCCTTACCACTTTTTAAAGTTTCACATATTCTCAAACACTAACATATCAGGCTCCTATTGAAACCTTCTAGTCATGTCACGAACAAAAACCAAACAACGATCTTTGTGCTCCAGCTTCCACTTAAGCCTAAAACTGCCATTTTTAGGGTTTTAGGCCCTAGCACATAATTTTCTTCTACTAAATTTATTCAAATACTATTTCAATGATAGACTGCATCACATCGAAGACTTGGAAATGTTAGATAAGGTGAGGAGTCGGAGAAAAGCTATTGGGAATTTACCTGAGAGGCTGTTCCAAAAATACCACACACACACGCTTTGATATTAGTGACTAAAGCCCTTAAATTGTTCCCCAAAGCTCACCTTCGCCATAATACCTACAAAACACTTGAGAACAATTAGCCGGCTGATGTGCTGTCAGCTTATTATACCACTTATAAATGACTCACTACACCCTGACACTCTGCTCCCCCTTGGCTGTCTGTGTCTCTGCCCAAAATTCAGACGGCAAGAGCTCCGCAGAGCACGTCTCCGCTGTCGTGGCAGTGCAAGGAGCCCAGCAAGAGCCCCTGCTCCAGACACTGTCTAAGTCCAAAAGGCAAGGAGAAAAGGAGAAATGTCACCGTGAAGGCAGCAGGGTTGAGACAACCTTTGTTCTTAAAATTTTGGGTGAACTTAGGAGGAAGTTTATCTTGAGAGGTTTGGACTATGGATGAAATAGGTTGAGAGCAGACCAGGGTATGACCTCAACGCGCTTTGGAACAGGGTTCTTGAACCTGAACCAGGCAGCAATAGCAGGGTCCTGCCCCGTCCCCCCTGGCAGGGGCACGCACACAGGGGACTGGGGGCTGTCAGCATGGAGCACTGACAGGTACGTGCCAGGAGGGCTTCATCCCGCTGCTCCCTCTTCCTCCCTGTCTCCTCGCAGGACAGCACTGGAGTAGAGGAGGATGGGCAGGGAGCAGGACGCTCTGCAGCCATGGTGGTGTGTGACAGAGACACAAACTGCCATTCTGCAGGGCAGAGCAGGGACGAGGAGAGGCTGGGGCTCACAGCAGAGCAGAGGAGGGTGCGTGTACGCCCCGGGGAGGGACAGAGCAGAGTACTAAAAAGAGGATGATCTTGATCAACAACAGCAGACCTGAAGCCTTTTAACAAAAACACAGAGTCTTCCCTTTGGCCAAGAGAATTACCCAAAGCTTAAAAAAATCAAATTACTTTTCCCTAATATTTTTTCATTCCCACCACCACTAAATACACTCCAGCCCTACACACGGGCTGAGGACTCCCCCAGCAGCCAGCACTCCCGCTGGAGGCACAAGGAAGGTCCTGTGGGCAACCCCTTCTCAGACCAGAGACCCCCGTGAGATAAGACAACACAGACTGTAATCCGTTATTACAGGAATACTTGGTTCACTTTCATTTTCCAATATGGCATCACCAAAAAGACAAGGATATTCTTTAGGAAAACCACTCAACGGGAGGGTCACACCACCTTCTTATCAGCGCCGCAGAACTCAAAAATACTGCATCAGAGCTGGCCTGAAAAAGCTGTGGTCAATGAGATTTTGTTTCTCAGCCACTGACTTTGTTTGACCAGTTAGATATGCCTTTGCCAACAGGATTTAGCTCCTGCTATATTCGAACCATCTTTAATCCCATGAAGGCTAAAGAAAAATGTCTCTCATTTAGCTCTGCACACTTATGAATAACTCAAATACTACAGTTAAATTTACAACATAGTTCCCTTAGCTGTTTAGAAGACAATTGTTTTCTTTCCTTTCCCCTTAAGTTCTAGTATGTAAAATATCAGAAGAATTTAGATTAAAAAAAAAAGAGGGGGGGGACATGTTATTTTTAAAGTTGTTCTTGAGAAAATTTCCACATACAAAACCGTGGCATTTCTCCACTGTTTTTGAGAATAATTTTCACATGTTGGCATCATCCTCGAGTGGCTGCCACAACTCCGGTATCATAAAGCGACATGTTATTTTCTCTGAGCTTATCAAAACACATTTTATTTAACTGCTAAATTTGGTCTGATCCAAGTTTTTCTTCTTCCTTCACAACAAACAGGAGACTGCAGATGCCGTACTGGGATGGCACACACGCATCCTACCAGAGCAAGGGGGCAGGGGAGCCAGGTCAGTCCTCCCAGGGCAGGGCTGTTCACATCACACCGCTGCCTCACGGCTCAGTAAGACTTTAAGTTCACTCTGAAATGTTCACATTGTTCACTACTGTTCTAGAAGTCCTGTCTAGGTAGCACTGAAAAACAAATTTTTTTGGCCCCTTCTGTTATGATGCTGGAACATTGTGTCAATATACTTTGGCATATATTAAAAAAAAATCCCTGTAATATACCATATACCGTGACATTTCCACTTCAGATCTATCATTTACATGTGAAGCACGAATCTCGAAAGAACCTAGTAAAGCTGTAAGAAAGACTACATTTTGCCGAAGCTCTCAGACACCCACTCCATTCAGTCACACCAGCTGGAGAGGTAAGTGTCAAGATACAGCTTTATTCTTAAAAATGAATATGGAGGTGAAACTCCACAGCCTCCTCCACAGAAATCATTTTTTAAAGTGAAATCACAATGATATGTGCTCCTGATTCTTCTGTGTCAGCAGCATTTCTCAGAAACCTTTTTGCAAATCTGGACATCTTAAAATCATATTTTAACTTATTTTGCAATTTACAGAGTTGTCCCTGCACTTCCCAGTCCAGCTGATGGGCGTCTTAGACGTGACATCCATTGGAAGATCTTTTGCTCCTAGAGGTAGAGGAGTCCTTGGCTACCCTCTGTCTAGCGCAGGAGGCACAAATAGCCCCCGAGAGACGCTTAAGCCCCTTCTGAAAGACACTGTTGGAGAGACTGTAAATGACACAGTTGCAGAAACTGTTGCTAATGGCAAGCCAAGTGGTCAAGAAGGACGCGACGCGGTTACTATAGACATTGGAGCTCTCCAGCAGAAAGTAGATGATGTAGGGCAACCAGAGGATGTAGAAGACGCTGGTGATGCGGAAAAGAACCATGGCGTAGCGCTTGTCCGGGCAGGGCTGGGCCTCCCCAGCCTCCCCATCCTGGGAGCTGAAGCGCACCCGCCTCTCGTTGATCTCCTTGGTGTGCTGCTGGCAGATGCGGAAGATGTTGAAGTAAGTGAAGCAGACGATGAAGGCGGCCGGGGCGTAGAGCATCACCACAATGAAGAGGGTGAAATAGGGATCGGTGTTCCAGGAATTGGCGCACCACTGGAACACGTCCCCGTGATATCCAGGCTTTCCCCAGTGAAAGGAGGGTAAGAAGACCAGGCAGGAGTAGAGCCAGATGATCAGGATGCAGATGCGAAGCCTCCACGGGGTAACCAGCGTGTTGTAGGTCAGCGGCTTCGTGATGGCAATGTATCTGTCGATGCTGATGCAGGCCAAAGAGGCCATGGAGACGCTCTTCAGCACCGACACCACATACCCGAAGATTTGGCAAACCAAGGACTCACTCAAAACAATAGGGTAGTGCAGCAGAGACAAAGAAGGCACCAGACAGCTCACGCCCACCAGGAGGTCAGCATACGCCATGGTCTGGATGAAGTAGCTGGTGGTGTGGTGGTTCAGCAGAGGTGCACAGTGAAAGACAAATATCACGATAATGTTGCCCGAAATAATCAGCACCATGAGGAACACGATAATAACCACTTCCAGGAGGCAAAAATTGATGGTCTCCAAATAGCTAATGGCCAGGAGGCAGAAGGGCCGGCCACTCTGGTTGCCAACCAAAGAGGAGTTCATCTTGAGCACTGCAGTGATCTCTTCACTTCATGCTCCTGCCTGCTGCCTGCAGCCACTCCGAGCAGCTGCTGTCATTGCGGCTGGTGCTCTGTGTGTGCAGCAATGTCAAAACCGGAGCTCGGGTCCCCAGGGCTGCTCCAGATGCTGCCGCCGTGCATTGTCTGCAGCACGATTCCCCTTTAAACCCGGCCCCCCGCCGCTCCCGGTGCACCGGGACCCAGCGGCAGTCATGTCAGCAACTTCACACCCGCACACGGCACAGGGCTGATTTTTAAAAGCCCTCCTGGGTGGGCTCTGCCTCGCCGAGGGGGGGGACGAGAGCTTGGGGGGGGGGAAGAGGGAGAAGGAACCTTCACCGAGTCAGGGCGAGAGTCCTCCCAAAGGCTGACCCTGCCCATGGCTCTGCTGCCTGGACTGTCCCTGCCGGGGGCTGTTTCTCTGTCCCCAGGTCCCCTCCCTTTCAGTGCTCAGAGGCTCCATCCCAGCTGCTGAGGGCTCAGCTCTGCCCTGCAGACCCCTTCTGCAGCAGGGCATGGCCCAGGGGCATCTCTGGGTGTGCACGGGGTAAGGAGACGTGCTTACAAGTGTTAACCACAACTGGGGTCTCCTTGCCTTCTCCAGATTGGAGGTCTACATTCCCATCTCCCACTTCCCATCCAGCCCACCAAGAGTGGAACACTCAAAGCACAGACTCCGTTTCTTTCAGGCAAACGCTGCCTCTATGTCCTATATCAAAATGTCCCTCTGCAAACGTGCGGGGGGGGGGGGGGGGGGGGGGCGGGGAGGAAGGGGGGGGAGGCGGGCAGGAGCGCGGAGGAGGGCGCGGCGCCGGCGGGGACCGGCGGGGGAACGGGGGCCGCAGCCCCCCGGGGGTGGGGAAGGGGGAACCCGGCAGCGGCGGCCGCAGCCTCGGAAACGGGGCGGGGGGGGGGTTTCCACTCCTCAAAAGGAGCGGCCGATGGCGGTGGGTCCCTCACCCGGCGCGACCCCGCAGCCTCCGGGGACGGCGGCGGGTCCCCCCGGGAGCCCCTGGCCCCGCACAGCCCGGTCCCGCGGACAGACACACGCCCACGCCCTGCTCCGACGGACGGACGGACAGACAGACAGACACCGCACACCCCTGCGCCTCCCCGTCCGCGCCGCACATCACAGCCGTCCGCAAGGACGGGAATTCAAACGTTAAGTCGGAATTTAAGGCTTTTCCATCCGAGCCCTTTTGGGTAAACACCGGAATGAGCGTGTCTTTCCTCGGTGTAATGGGTGTTCCTTAGGAGACACCCGAAACCAAGGGCAAAGCCGAGAACTGTGTCCCACCAGTGGTCCAGGTGGTGCCTCAGGTAGGTGAGCACCTCCTGCACAGAGACATCGCTATCCCTGACAGCCTCCAGAACAACCTACGCCAAAGTAGACAAACTAGAAAACCCAATGACATCCCAGAGAGCAAACACCAAGAGACCCACAACACAGCACTTGAGCTTGTCTTCCCACCACAGGCTCATACCACCACACATGGTAAACCAGAAAACCTCTTGGACACATTCGAGGTGGAGATGCCATCACAGGACACTCATATTGTGCAGTTTGTCAAGAGTGTTTTACTCACTTGAGATGCTGGAAAACACCTTCCCGTGGTGTGTGGAAGCTCATTCTCCAACCTGGACACCAAACTGCTCCACTGCCACCACTCAGGACCAGCCCAGGGCTATGGGAATGGGTCTTTGAACTGATCAAACCAGTAAGAGACTGGAGTGAGGCTTCCCAAGAACTCCAGTCCTTTTGTCAAAGAAAGGTGCCACCGGTGCCCTGACAGTGTCAGCCCCCACACTGAATTCAACCACCAAACCCAGGGTTTGGCTTAACCTGAGCTAAATGTCTGTTACTCTGTGATAGAGAGAGGGATGCATTTTCCATTAGGGATAACGTGTGGAAAATGAATTGCAGGCAAAGGGACAGATCTCAAAGCAGTCACACTGCAGTGCTCAGGATTTCAGCTGACCTGGAAGCAGGGAAAAAACCCAACATTTTACGATACACTCCTATTTGTCAAAAATCTGTGCTAGACAACAGCATGACTTGGCAGATTTTTAGTTAGTCTTGTGCAAAAGCCTGTAAACAAAAACTTGTTTTTTCTGCCCTATCTTTACCCCCAAAAAGATCCCTTTACTATTGTGTCCTTCATTTTTGTTATAATTTATGGCGTTTCTACTCACGGCAATTGAAGAACTGTAGCTAGGAAACATAAACTTTGAATTAAATTTAGGCAAGGGCATTGTAGTTATACAAAAACCAAGCTATGATTGAATTACTGCTGGAGAAATGATCTCCTGTCTTCCCAAAGCAGAGAATGATCTACATACCAATTGATTCCAGTAGCGTTTCTGGATCCTCAGGCGTGAACAGACACATCGTAAACATCCTTAAGGAAACAACATACATTGAACTTGAAATATATCTCAAGATATATAAAACCAAGATAGTATTGGGAATGGTGAGACTGACCAAAACAACGTCTGGTTGCTGAAGTTTCAAAACAAAAGACACACAAAACCTCCTCAATGTTTAGATTTTTATGCCAAGTCCAAGTTTAACTCCCATCCAGCCGACAGGTATTTCTGGAGGAGAGGGAGCTGGTTTGTCCTTTCACTGACTTTCTGTTGTTTCCCCAAAAGCCGAGAGGAATGACTCCATTCCACGTTCATGCCAAGTTACTCCTGCTTAACACACCCCAGCCCAAACCAGCCATCTCTTGAGCTCATTCTCTCAAACCCCCCTGCACCAGAAGCCAGACCGAGGTGGCCACCAAAGGGTGTAAATTGCAACTGGGAGGTAACTGGGCTGGCGATATCCCTACCTGCTGTCCCAGCTCTGCCCCAGCAGAGCCACTTCCACAGGACATCACAACGTGTGGCTCTGGGGGCTGAGCTCTGCGAGAGAATGAGAATACTTCAGTGTTGTAGGGACTTCTCCCACCCCAAACAGTGACACGATAGGACCTCATCTAGGACTATTAGAAGGTATTCAAGAAATCATTTCAAGTCACAACAAGAACTCTTGGGAAAACTACTGCTTGTAAAAGATAATTAAACTTTTATCACCACGTGATCAAAACTCATCAAACAAGGGATCTAGAGGTTCAGCAGGACCACGTCCTACTTCTATGTACTGCAATTCTCTGCTTATGGAGACAACAAAGTGGGAAGACGAGAAAGTGGGAAGCAAGAGTCCTGCTATAAGAAAACCCAAAACAAATGAAACTCTTACCAGGCCTAGAATTTCCACCAGAAATGGTGACCCCCAGGTAACATCCCAGGATACTCCTCCTGCCACTGGACTTCTTTTATTTTTTTTTATTTGTGCCACAAGATGTCCCTCTCACGTCATAATTTTCTTAATATAGTGTATTTATCTGGTGTTCATGGTTTTTTCCTTTCAACATCATTTCCTCCCACACAGACCTATATGCAAAAGCTTTTATTTTCTCCTCAATATTGTAAATGTCAGGTTCTTGGTATTATGAAGTACTTTTCCATGGAGAGATCGCCACTGATCTGAGAGATTCAGTAGTTGTATTTGTAATTTTTAAAAACCTTGTCTGAGAAGTGACTATTGTCTATTTTGCTTTGTGTCACAATCTGACTTTTTTTTAAACCCGTGTGGCTTGCTTTACAAGTTTTCTACTCAACAACACTTTCCATCCACCTATGACTGTCAAAAATATGAAGTATTTTTCCTGCAGGTGTCCATTAATGCCTGGAGCGAGTCCCCATGTCCCTCCTCCAACCTTTCAGTGGCTGGAAGCCTGAAGATTAACAGCCGTGTCCGTGATTGCCAAAGTCCTACCAGGAACAGATGCCTCTCGAAGGGATTGTCTAGATCGCTTTACCTAGAGTTTGCTTTCTGTCCCCAGTAGGGACGTGACCTTAATTCACTGGGCTGGCTTTCATCCACGCTCCCCACCACGGGCACGGCAATCTGGAGTTGCTAAAAGCTTTATTATTGCACACAGATGGTGTGCAAATTCTCAGAAGTCATTTGTGGAAGCACCACAATGGTGAACCTTAGGCACTACCGCAGTAACAAAAGCACAGGGTACAAAAACCCAGCTAACGTTTATCAAAGAAACAAGGACCAAATAATTAATAAATACTGTCACGATGACTAGAAAGCGACGTGTGCACCTTGAGGCATGGTTTCAATGCCACTTTTCGTGATCAAGTCAAGAAGAGACCCAGACACAGCCTTCAGTGGGAGAACACAACAGAAGACATTTCCTTTTCAATCATTCAGCAGCCACTCATCAGCAGTAAAGAAGGAACTATCCTTGCAGCACTAATTTGCAAAAGAAAGCAAAAACCCACAGATTCGCCAAGCACCAGGGGCCAGAGCTGCAGAGAAAGCAAACACCAGGGGAAACACTGGGCTCCTGCATCCAACACCCTGCACAAGGGGAAAAAAAAAAAATCCCTGAAAGAGGCCAGGAGCTTTTGAAGCAGCTGTCAACACAGATCCTTATTAATTTGGGACTGTGCTGCCGCATGGGGTCATGAAAAGCCTGTCAGAAATCAAGTGCAGCTAGAGGAATAGAGGTCAGCAGGAAGAGAGAAGGGGCACTGGATTAGGAGTGCTCAAATGGGCTTAACTGCATCTCCTACGTGTGCTGAAGAGCAAAGGTTTTCCACCAACTCCTTGTGCTTCTGCACTACACCACACCAGATACTCTCAGATAAACCATTGTCAACACGTGGTAATGCAAATAATTACATGACTGCCAGAGAAGAATTTGTATTAGTGACATGCAAAACATGGCAAAGCATTACGAGGGTGGTAATGCAATATATCATAAGGGACCCGTGCATCCACATAATTAACAATTCTTTTTCCCCAGACACATTTACTGCTGTGCATTGCTGCATATTGACTGTAACCGAGCTGCTATTTTCAGAGCAGTAAGAATTAGTCACATCACAACTCCAAAATTATCAAATCATCTATGAAAAAATGAAAGCCAGTGTGCAACCCAGCATTATTATACAGTTACCATATACTATATACGACGGGTCTGCAAATGTTATCTTCCTGGGTCTCAAATTCACGTTCCCATCAACCTCCCAAACAATTCTGTGTTCTTTGCCCATTCGCATCGTTAGCGCTTCCACACAACCACTGATAACCTTTTCTGAAACCTTACCCTCCTTCCACTGCCTGCAGATTGAAGGAATCGCGGTTCCACCGGGAACCAGGCAGAAGCTCTTGCTCTCAAAGCACCAATCTTTGTCCATTCCACACAAACAGCCGTGGCCTATTTTCATGCAATTTACATTTAAGTCACAATAACACAAACAGCCTCAAGAAGGGTCTAATATGGCACTTCCAGATTACAG